TATATGAGCTTGTTTGAATCAAAAATGTATGGGTGAAGGGAGTTTGGAGCAAACAATACATGGACACATGACATGAAAAGTGTGGTGATTTGTGGGATCAAAATTTGTTTGAAAATGTGAGATAAAAAATTGATTAAGTTCCTTTTTAAGTACTGTAAGTGATTTGTTCATATTTATAGTTAGGAGGTAGTTCCATAAATGAGGGAAATGAATAAAAAAAGAATGGTGAGAGGAGCATGAGGAGGAGAATTTGTGACACAATTTACTGTGTGAAGATGATCTTGTCTTTGACGAGCAAAAAGAAAAGTGATCCATAATATTGAACTGTGGTGTAGGATGCTGTAGAGATGACAGGAAGAACATAATGTCAGACAGTTCCAGATGATTTTTTCTGATACATAGATATACATGTTCTTATGCTGCGTAGCAAGTTTGAGTGCAGTGTATTTTGACCAAAATTGGATTTTTTATGATTTTAAACTTTACCAAAAAATCAGGCCACAGTTGAAAGTCCCTGTACTATAGCACAGTGATTTTGGCCAAACTTAAGCCAAAAATTATTTTAAAAATTTCCATTTTTATAATTTTTCTGATGCAGATACAAGTTTTTATTTTGTGCATTAAGTTTGAGCTGATTTTTACCAAAATTAGATTTTTATCAATTTTTAACATTATTTAAAAATCAGGCCTGACCAAAATTGAATTTTTTACTATTTTTTTAAACCCAGGAAAAATTTTGCTGCCAATTTTATTAACCTAGGTAGGTAGGACAAAAAATGTTGAGTAGGACAAAAGTAGAAGCACAATTTTGTCCTAGACAAAAAAATATCAGCACAATTTTGACCGGTAGGACAAAATTTTGTTAAGACAAAGCATAGACTAGATAATGCAAAAGGTGTCATGACCATAGATATTAGAGTACACAGGGATTGGAAACGGGGCATAGCAACAGGAAAATGCTAGTTGATAGTACCGTAAATAATTTCTCTAATTACTCATATGTAAAATTTAAAATGGCTGAAAGTTGAAAAAGGTAAGCAAACTTCTCAGGTAGTTTTTTGTTGTATAAAGTCTTATTTTGTACAGGTAACCCTTCAATAATGTTGAGAGACATTCTTCCTGTTTGCTCAAGCTGTCTGCTGTAGTAATGTATCTGTTTGCAGTTTAAATTCAGTGTTTTATGAATTAGCAATCATTATTGATCACATTTACTATATTTAATTCTATATTTTGTTTTGTACAACCTATTGAATAGAAATGGTGTTGGCAACCTCCGGTGTGTTCTAAACAATACGATGGTGTGACAGCTAATGTCACAGACCCTTTGGTTTTTATGTTAAGGGTACAAAACAAACCTCTCGAACTAATCATTAAATCTATTGTTACAGAAAGACACAATCATATTTTCAAACGAAACATAGTGGGCGACCTCCACATTATGAATCTCTGTTGAATGGTTGAATCAATTATTGTCTTCTGTCTAGCACTACTGAGATAAGGAAGGGTACAAAACAAAATGTTATTCTAAGCATTCTCATTCCAGAGCAAATATTCACTGCAAATGATGATGCTAGCAACATGAAAATTAGTCTGGGGATAGATACCAGTCCCTTCTGCTTCCTTTGATATAAATAATGACGTATAGTGACACCACTGCTGGAATGACAGGTCTTAAAAAGACAGCTCTTGCTCAAAGACAGCCTCCGTTGCTAGATGCAAATGTCAACTAGCATCCATATCCTAGCGATGTATACGGAGATACCCCGTTTCCAATCCCTCTGTACTCATGAGTCATAACGTATCTATGTCATGACTCGACCATAGATAATAGAGTAAATATTATATAGGCGGTAGCCTATATGTAGGATTGAGGTTGATTTTTCAAGATGGCGGCCGTTATGATTTTCAAACACTCATAACTCTTTTATCTTACGTTGCACAGCCTTATAAATGGCTTAGATGAGCTCTCCTTCACTGAGCGATTCTCCTGGTACCTTTAAAGTGGACTGCAATGTAGCGAGAGCATTTCTGGAGAATAGGCCCAAATTCAAATTTCTGCAAAATTCTTCAGACTTTTTCTTCTTCTTCTTCTTCTTCTTTCATCTTCTTCTATCAACACGGAAATCTTTTAAGCCAGAGAACCGCTCAAGTTGGCTTTTACATCATTCCTTTGAGCTTGAGTCAAGGACTGGACATGTGGCTTCAAAAAGAAGCAAGGACAGAGAACAATGGAAGACAAATTCCAGCTGCAGCACCGCGTGGGTTTGTGGTTTGACGCCATTTTAATTTATGCGCACGTGATAATAATGAATATAATTAACTTAACCACATAATCATAACAGAAAGTAATTTATAAATTTAAGAAAAAAGAATGGAAACAAGTAAATAAAAAACATTAAAAATGGAAAAGTAGTAGGATTAAATT